TCACTTGATTATCGTTATGATCGTTGTTCTTCTCATGATATAAAAAGGAAAGTTGTATTATTTTATCGATATTGTTTTCTCTGGCATTGAGCTTGCCGCACATCGACGCATCTCAGGGGGGCTTAATGTAACGACAATTTTATCTTTTTCTTTGTTTTGTTTTATATATTTGCTGTTCATTGCACAAATGTTTTTAGTCAATGAAAAAATTGCATGGATTCTCGAAAAAAAGTAAGTGAAATACGCAACATCCTTTGAAAATTTTGTATTTAATTCAAGATTCAATAAAAGTGTACCCATTGTTATATCGAATCATCCGGGTTCAGCTTATGGTTTTCTATCCAGAAGGTTTCGCAAAATTGGCTAGGCGAGGCTCAGTCCACCCTATTCAGATTCTGATTTGTATTCCTTAGAGAATATTTATGTTTGTTGAATGTGTTCAACCTTCATAATCATTCTATTCATCATCAGAAACTGAAAACTAATCGAACTGAATTCGAACTGAATTAAAGGAAACACAGACGAAGCAAACCAAATTTGAACTACCGTAGTAAAAACTTGGTTCAATCTGATCTCTGTTAGTTATCACGACAAACATTTCAGGATGCTTTTGTCTCAATTATGTTTCAACTGATACATAGGCATTGCGAAATAACAATTTTTCAAATTTCATTGTCCTATTATACGAGCAAAAAACACAAAAAACTTGTTTGTATTTTGGTTTATAAGTATTTTCGCTGTTTATCAATGTTGCTTTAATGTTTTTTAACGACTGATAACAAATTATTTATTCTATTGAGGAAAAATAAAAATAAGCATGTATGTCTATCATCAATCCACTAGAGGATTTATCGGAAGTTTGATTCGGTCTGTTTTTCAATGTTATAAAGAATCACTTCGGTCACATGTTTGCTTTTTTCTCCGTTAATAATATTAATTAAATACTTTTTCCGAAATACGTCCTATTTGTTTTACTTCGATATTTTTCTCCAATAATCAATTACTTCATAACTGCTGTTACTCATGTGAAGAGAAATGTCCCTTCCATTAGATTCTTATCTTCGTAATTAAACATGTGAAGTCAATTATCAATAGTTGTTATTTTTATTGCAAGGTTATTTCCTTTGATGACGAAAGTATTCAACAGAAACATGATTCATTGATGTAAATAGCATCAATTTGAAAAGTGCTTCAATTGATCATAATAGTATGGTCTATTTCTTGTAATATCAAACCAAACTTTGAAAACAAGTGTTCTAAAGATTAATTTTTGTATTTTTTTCTCCTAAACAAAACAAATGCATTTAGACAAAACTCGTTTGTCCTTAACATCGTACATTCAACATTTTGTAATGATTATCTAATATTCTTTAGTAAACATTCACCATGTTTCTAGAATGGATTTTGTACAATTGTTTCCACATCAACTAATATTTATAAAAAAAAAAGCTTTGACTAGCATAAGTTGCCGTGATGTTATTATCTCAAGCCATAGTCCTAATTCGTATGTAAACCGATCAAATGCAAAAAACTAAAAGATAAAATCTCTGTCTCATCACGAGTACCTCAATCGTTAATACCGAGGATAAAAAATCCACCTAACTTGTATCCTCCTCTGACTAATAGATACATAGATGGCTAGATAAAATCTATAATGATTCATTCCTGTTGTAGGAAGTATATTGAGGTCAATACATAAAAAGAACACCTATAAGTTAGGACTCCCTCATACTTGTAATATCATAACGATGCGTTTTCTCATATTTTTATTCGTCGTTTTCATTTGTAAGAAAGGAAGTGGAACAATATACCAATGTAATACAAATGCATCATGTGGATGTTCAACTTCATTCACTCTTGTATCACGTATTGTTGGTGGTGAAACTGCAGGTCGACAATCTTGGTCATGGGCTATTTCTCTTCGTTCTAATGGAAAACACATTTGTGGAGGATCAATTCTTTCACCATCATTCATTATTACTGCTGCCCATTGTTTTAATGACATAACAAATTTAACAAATATCACTATTCTTGCTGGATCTCTAAGTGTAACACCTTCATTAAATGGTTCATCGCAAGTTCGTTCCGTTGCTCAACTCTACAAACATTCTGATTATGACTCTTCTTTATTTATAAATGATTTGGCTCTTCTTCGCTTGTCTAGTCCATTAAATATGGGACATGGAAATATCAAATCAGTCTGTTTGCCATCTGATACTGTTTCTCAACCATCAGACAATATTAATATGATCGCTGTAGGTTGGGGTACAACATCAGCATTGTCAAGTACTGTTTCTTCAATTCTTCTTCAAGTCACAGTACAATCCATAGCAAGTACATACAGTGGATGTAAAGATCTTATTTCTGATAGTAAACTACAATTTTGTGCTGGAATAATAACTGGAGGGAAAGGTAATGCATCAATATTAAGCTAATCTACTTAAGTCAATAATTTTTTTCTGCCTACAGATACTTGTCAAGGTGATAGTGGTGGACCATTAATGGCATTTGCTAATAATGTTTGGCAACTTTATGGTATCACATCCTATGGATATTTATGTGCACTACCTGGCTATCCAGGAGTCTACACTCGAGTTAGTTTTTATATAGAATGGATCAAATCTATCATGTCATTCGATGAGATTACAACAACCACCGTTAGTAAAAGCATAAATCCAACAACAACCGGGAGTACCACAAGGAAAATACTGGTGAGAACTACGACTAACACAAGGCAAAGCCTAGCGACAACTAGGACTAGTAAAAGCAAAAGTCCAACTACAGCTAGGACTGGCACAAGCAAAAATCCAATAATAACTACAACTCGCACGAGCAAACAACTAATGACAGCTAAAGCAGCAGAATCAACATTTAAGATATCAAATAATGGTGAACATGCAACAAAGAAACCATTGTTTTTTACAGTTTTTCTGCCAACCATGGCCAGTTTATATTCATTTCTTGTGTTGTTTCTTCTTTAACCCGTTTGTTTTATTACCATTTACTGGACAATACAACGATATAGTCTAACATAAATACAATAAAATCTCTCTAATCTGAACACTGTCGGTACTTTGAAAAATCGTTCAGATTAACAGGGTGATCACATAGGAGGGGATCTGTAGAAATATAGAGATTTTTCGAATTTAATGACATCTGTTTGTTCACTTCGGATGAAGTGTTCTATTTTATTTATATAAAATTCTCTTTATCCATATACAATACAAAAAAAATAATTTCATAAGATTTTCAAGAGCTTCGATAAGTGTATATTTGAAATAAATAAATTTCTTGACCTAAATCATTTTTAAATTTTATTTTTATTTTTTTATTTTGATAAGTTTTATAATCATTTATATACTCACATTTGCGTTTCAATATATTGAAGACAACACCTCGTGAGATATTTGAAATTTCTATTGTCTCTTCCTCTTTTTATAATCAATTATAGAATGAGAAAATTGGATGCATGGTGTTAACTCGATGATAGATGGTGCTGTCTGTCTCTATCCATATTATAGAGGTTGGATTTTCATGGTGGGGACTGAAATAAAGCGTTCACATTCAGAATGTCGAGATGATCATAAAGGAGGGGGTCAAAAGCAGCAATATTCGGTCGGTTGAACCGGAGGATGTTCAGTATAACAGGTTGATCACTTAGGAGGGGTGTTCACTAATAGAGGTTTTATTGTACAACATTTTATGTCAGTGAAACAAAAAAAAATATTTTCTTATTATATTTTTTCCGACGAGAAAAACGAAAAATGAAATTTAATGCCAATGACACTCGAAAACCTAATAATGTTCACATAACTGCTTCACAAAACAACTATCCGCTCATGTTGCATAATCTCGTATTATTTAACTCGGTATTCATGTTCCACTGATTCATTGAGTTCGCTTCCTATTTGAAAATGCTCTTCAAAATAAATCAAACGGCAAAAAATCTTGTCGAAGTCTGTCTGAAAAATAAAACATTCATAGAAAGTGTCTGAACATCCAGCAATATTTTGATTCCTTCTTTATGAGTGATCCTATGCAAAATGCGAGAGACTCACTAGAGACAGATAGCACAGCTAAATTTCAAATTTTATCATTTAAATTTTCAAAAACCTGGTTTTTAGAAAAATTTATGTCATGGTCAGATAATATGTTCAATGACAAGAAAACTTTCTTGAACAATTCTCTCGTATTACTCATTGCGTCAGTTTTTCTTTATGAAGAATTATTTCTAATCAAACATATGTTATTCCATTCAGTTTTCTTATGTTGATTTTTGATATAGCTAGGCATGTACTACACTTTTTTTTCGCTAGCCTTGAACACTTTTATATTAACAGCTTGAGTGCTGAAGTGAATTGCTGAGTCATTTGGTCTAACCTATCAAAATATAGACAAAACATTGCTCTACAAAAGGAGACATCTCCGAGCTCTGGACTCCAATCTCTCTAGTTTTTACGTCTATTTTAAAAGAATGTCTTAGCCGAGCCTAGGCTTGTTCGCTCGAATTCAATTTGTAAAGGTGTCATAAAAATCAAAATTTTCTTGTACAGAGCTGGGATATCTCTCATGTGATATAGCATTTTCTCTATCTTTTGGTACTCTAGGTTGTATGATTCAGTCTTTCATTTCACAGCTCAAGCTGTTGACATAAAGTGCTCAAAAACAACGCAAAAAAAGTTCGATGCATGCCTAGATTTAGTACATTTTTTTTTATGACTCAGTCAGTTTCTACTTTGCAACATGAGAAAATATTTACATTTACAAATGATCTTTACAAAATTTTATGACATATTCGGCAACATCTTCAATCAAAATATCTGACGACTAACTTCTCGGAAACGGATGGAACTAACTAGATTCCGACAGAATCTGATAGCACACTTACGATGTGCGACTAGTTCAACTACTGTTTGTATTTTCATCAGAAAAAGTCGATTTATATTGACTTATTCTGAGATTAATAATTTTAGAACAAACAGATATATGTGCAGTTGTTTTCAAAAATACTTCTTTTTTTGATACAACTGCTAGAGGTGTTCAGTTTTATATAGTTTTCTGAGCTACCAAATAGGCGGTCAAACTTTAACATCCTTTCATTTGATAAATAGATCAAGTTCTGTTATTGGTATAATGGTTGCTTGCTGCTTTGATTGCATGATCAACAGTACGATTATAAATAAATTTAGATTTGATGATTTATTACTCTTCTACATATTCTGATTTGTGAAATGGGATGACAACTGACTTGAGAACACTAGAGTGAAAACAAAAAATTGAGGTTTTATAATTCAAAAGCTGTCAAATTGATCCAACCAAGGTTACAGATTATTAACTTTAGTTCAGATCAGGACATTGAAATAAAGTTTAACTGAAAATAGAGGTGAATGTACTACTTTTTCTCATATGTGCATCTTTCTCTAAGAAGCAGATATCTATATCGGCGTTTATTACGCAAATTCACCAACTACTGTCTTCACTAATCGATAAGAAAAACATTTTTTTTTAAATAATAGTCACGTCCTAATTTGTACTGTAGCTTTGCATTGAAGCTTGTAAATTACTCTAAATCAACAGATTTAGCATATAGATACACGGAAAATCCTAAGTAAAATTTAATGCGAAATATAGATCCATTTTACTTATGACGATGAAGAAATTGTCGTTTTTTATGGCATAAAACGAATCAAGATTTTCTTATTCATTCCAATCTTTGGTTCAAAAATTTCAATCCGTAAACGTGTGCACTTTTTACGATTTTATTTTTCTTAAAATTTCCACTTTTTTGTATGAGTTGTTTTTTTGTTGTTTGTCTGAGTGGCTAGGACATTCATAACCGTGCGAAATATCCGGCCATCGTATGCTGAACTTTGTTTCAGCATGTTGTTGTATACCCTAGATTAGATTTTTTCAATATATTCGTTTATATCATACTTGGTTTCTGTTTAATATACTTGTATATAAATATGGCCAGATTTGGCTTGTTCTATTTTTAGATTTTTGTTCTCTCTGTTTCTCTTTCCTGATGTCTAAACTCTTTCAAATATTGTGTCAAGTGTTATAAGGTGTCGGTAAATCGAAATTTTATCAAAAGATTTTTGCCATTCCTTTGGACTGGTTGAATAGATCTCATCAAGTTACCTCTAAAAGTATTGCTTTTCACGTATTCACACCGATTTTATGCAAAAATCTCGAAAATACCATTATGTCCAAAATAGTCAAAATGAGATATTACTGTTGAAAATAAGAATAGGGTAATGTCAAATTTGTACATTTAGGTTGAGAAATAAAAGTTTTTTCAGAAATGCTTTAGTATTCCTGAAAAGTTAAACTTTTTTTAGAGTATCAATAATGCGAAATTTCAGAAAAGTTTCATTGACATTGGTTCTGTTATGGTTGAATAGAGCTAGTCGAGTTTCCTTGAGAAAATCTGTTTTTGACATATTCATTCGACATATATCTAGTAAAACTTAGGCAAATTAAGTTATACAAATCAGAAAAGCTTATAAAAATCACAATACGTGAAAAGCATCATATTATCTGCTGTTAGAATGAAGCAAATAAATAAATGACTGTTAAAAAGAAAGGTTTAAGATAATAAAAAGACTTTATATTAAGAAATCATTTATCTTACATTTTGTTTTTGCAATAAACTCTGCTACTGTTTTATCTATATCAATTTTAAAATTTCTTTCAATATTCAATATCACTATGTCTGATAACTTCTCCTGTCCCCTATTATTCCTTAAATAAGTTTGAATTCATAGTAGTTGACCAATATATAGTTCATGAGACTTAAATAATTCATTTATACATGAGAATCATTTGTTGAAATCATTCTCCAAAATGAATTTAGTTCCTTCAGATAAATTCTTTTGTTATGTTTCTCAAATGTTCTCATTACTCATTGAAGTATTTTACATTAAACTCTGCTTTGGTTATATAAACATACAAAACAATGAAGATATTTTTGGGTGTGGGCAATTGCTATCGATTGTCCTCTGCTGATCCCTTCATGTTTGGTTGCTAAGGAACACGATTTTTCCGATATAATAATAGCGAAGAACATTATAAAAACGGGTTTGTATTCCGAGATTTTCATAATCAAGACTCGAATTCGACAATAAACGATATCATATTCAGAATATGCACAAAAAACTCCGCCTCATAGTATATCTAATACTCAAAATCAATTTTCGTTAAATTTTGATCTTATGGAAAACCACAGGTCATTTTATTCAAAAATAACAATGAGAATGTGTAAGAACCAAGATCTGACAAAAATTAGTTCTAACTATTAAATATACTATTCAATATAGATTTTTTTGCTGATTCTAAATATGATAACGCATCTTTTGAAACTCAAGTTCTGATCGTAAAAATCTCAGAAAATGAAACCGTTTTTTGCTATCATCATATTAGAAATATTGTGTTCTTCAACAATCACATAGTATTTTTCAAAAAGCATGCATATGTTTTTCCTCAAGTACATGGCAAGTAATATCAAAAGAAATATTTGACTAAATATTCAGGATATTGAGATTTGATACTTTTCGTGTATTCTGATTTTTGTAACCTTTTCTCATTTGTGTAACTCAATTTAGCTAACTTTCACCACATATATATTGAATGAATATGTCAAAAACAGATTTTCTCTACAAAAATCAACCAGCTCTATCCAACCATAATAAAAACAATGTCAATGAAACTTTTCTCAAATTTCGCATTGTCGATATTCTAAAAAAAAATGAAACTTTTATTTTCAGGAAATGTTAGAGTATTTCTGGAAAAAGTTTTATTTCTCAACAAAGGAAAGAGATTGTTCAAAACCTATGCCTAGTTCTTTTGGCATAAATATATACTGGTTATAAGTAAAATGAATCATGTAAATATGTGCCCATTGAGAGATGATGTCTTTGAAAGATACTCCCTTCAAGCCTATCAGATCTATCTGTAGTTCTACTCATGACAATGTCAATTG